AAAATTTTTTTATATACTGTTTTTCACAAATTTTGCCTTTTTAAAGTGGTGGGCCTCTACCTCCCCATTTTCCCCACCCGGCACTGGCGGGCGGGGGAATTCTGGGAGTTAAAGTCCACTCATCTTAAAGTGGCCAAGTTTGGACAACACTGATGTAGATAGATTTTCTCGAGGATAATAACATGCAATACTGTACTTGTTCAATTAAAGTCTTATTAGACCAAAAAACCTGCCTTCAAAGCTATGAAATGACATTTTTATTGAATATTCTATCCATGCGTCAAAAGCTTGATTGAGGTGATGTCACTGTACAAATTAAGCACCTAGTATATGTCTCACTTGCGACTTTAAAACTTTGGGTCCTCCCACTCCTTTACTTCACTTGGAACCTTTGTACCCAAACCTAGATATCTTGTAAGATTCAGGATGTGAGAAATCAGGCATACTCGGAATATACTTGTTTATATAAAACACCATTCAACAACAGGCAAGCAGATCCTACCTTTCAACTTGAATTGCATTTTATAAACTTCTGTGAAGATACCATTCAGACCTGCTGCATGTCATGTTGTGTATTAATGTTAGAAAACTTGGCTAATATATCTACAACTGTTTTAAAGACCAAAAAAACCTTGTACTCTAGGGAAACAAATGGCTATAATATTTTTCTTATTACAAAGTAGGGGTGTGTGTGTGTGTGCATGCACACACACTTTGTAATAAGAAAAATTAGACAGTTATGTAGTTTTAACTGTTATGTTTGTACGCCACCCAGAGTCACATTTTTGTGAGATGGGCAGCTATGTAAATATGCTAAACAAATAAATAAATAATCAATCTATGATTACATACCTATAAACACGCACACGCACACGCACACGCACAAACATACACTTGAGATGAACTGTGGTAGAGTTAAAGTTTTTGCAATCACACCCTCCAATTTCCACTGAAGCATGTACAGTGTGTTATGCCTGGTGCAATACTTGTAGCTGTAACTTGGGAACTGAAGGTACATTGTGTTTCCTATCATTTATTGCTTACCTGGTCCCTCAAAAGGCAAAAGTTTGGATGGAATAGGATCCTTAGCACTGAGGGGGATCAAATAGAGGTCCTTGACATGTCTGTTGTTATTAGCTACAACTCCAAATCGGCATCGACTGCTAAAATAGGAGTAGAGAGAAATGTAGGCAGCTTCTTCCTCTTCTGTTGCTGGATGGAAACGGATTAAACACAATTCCTGGAATATAAAAATATAAAGAAAAATACTGATTCTTGAAACAAAGAGGAAATAAAACCAACACACACTAAGGCAGCACATTTTAGAAAGAATGAGTCCAGAATATTGGTGGCAATCTCAAAGGTTGTATAAACTTTTAAAAAATCATCTTAACTAACCTTTCTAAAAAGTACCCACCAATTTATTAAGCTCAAGGTCGTGTAAAATTAGCATTAATAATTCAAATTTTACTTCATTCTGATTTGAAACGCTTTTTTTTAAGTGAATATTCAGAGATGTATCTAAATAAAAGCCCTGTAACAAACCAGCAAAAATTCTTACTGTGTTGGTTAATCTTAAATCAGAGATAAAAAGCAGGTATAATCTATTGCTTACCTTTTAAAAATACAATCTATACAATACTTATTTACATAGAACTGTCTGGGGAGGAGCAAAGAAGACTCACCAATATAGTTTACTTTAGAAAATATGGCTGACTGCTGCACTGCACAACTCTTTTTAAAGTTCCTGCTACTCCAAAGGGTGTAGAATGGAACACATTAGCAATCACTTGTACCAGAGATTCAAACTGAACTTAATCTACCCTTAGGCAGCAGAAATACTTTGAAGATGTATTTGGCCTTAATCACTATTATGTCATCAGCAGCAGCAGCATCATTTCACATGAATTATTGCCAAACTAGATTTTTAATTGAGTACCTTTGATACAGAGGATTTAAGTTTGCCAATATAATCCCACACTGTCTTTGGTGAGATCCTCCCTCCGATATGAATTGTGTCCGGTAAATCCTAAAGAGAAAACATGAGAAGAAGCCATAATTAGAGGGAAAGTTTTCTGTTCATACTGTAACAGCTAGTATATAAAGAAGAGTCATATTCTTATCTTTCTATAATCAGGGCTATTATCCTCCCCTTCATATCTAATTATTTAGCACAAGGTTAGAGAACTTGAGGACTTCAACTTGCAATGCCCAACAGTCTCAGCAAGAGTAACTTGAAGTAACAGCTATTAGGTAACATCCAGAAGGCCAAAGGCTCTGACCTAGGACATTAATAGAAAAAACCCTGACATGTGTTTCCTCCCATAAGAGATTCAAAATGCATCATCTAACTAGATTCATGTGAACAGGCAGTTTTTATGTATACAACAATTATCTTGGCATGATACAAGAAAAACATATCTCGAAATCTTTAAGCTATGCTACAATATTGCTAGCTTACTTCATACAATGTTATTAAATTTGCTTTTAATTTTTTGCTAGATTAAAAAAGTACAGGATATCTATTGAACAGATAACTGGGGAAAAGGCCAGCAAGATGTAGTGATGTTAAACTAGTACCGGGGAGATTCAGGTTCAGGTCACGCTTCCACTATGAAAGCTCCCTGGTAACTTTGGGCCAGCCACTTTCTCTCAGCCCAACCCACCTCAGAGGGTTGTTGCTGTATGGAAAAGTAAGGGTATGGGGCATTATGTATGCCACCTTGAGCTCCTGACCATCTAACTACATTTGAACAGCTCTTTTATGTCCTCATCCAACTCTTATGCAAACCCCAAAGAGCACCATGCATCAACTGTGTGGTTTTATGCAAACGCCAGGGACATTTTCTTCAAATCACAAAGGATTAAAAAAACAAGTAATGATTAATCCAGTTACAGACATCCCATTTGATAACTGCATCTAAATAGGTTTTGTGTTTTCCTACCATATTTTGAGTTACTTCACATCACTGCTTCTTACCAACTACCCCATAAAGTAAACAGCAATCAACCTCAATATATCATCCCTCAACCTCACTACACAATTAGAAATGATGCAATACCTGCCATGTATTTTAATGCTGTATTATTAAATGGCACCCACCTTATGGAAATCTTCTCCCCCCGGAAGTGAGGTTAGCTCCATCCCTGTTAATGTTCCGGAAGTTCATCGAGACCTGGTTATGTTATCAGGCCTGGGGGTCCCAGGGGACCAGTGAGGTTTTGAGGTAGCTCCCTTACTGCGGTTAACATTCATCCTCTCTTGTGCCTTCTGTTTTTTTATATTTTTAATTATGATTGTTTTTATATATTTATTGTTTTTTAATTTAGTGACGTATGCCGCCCAGAGTCACTGCTTGAGAGACGGGCAGCCATATAGATTTTGATAAATAAATAAATTTTCCTTACTTTAAAGCCAACAAGATTCCTTTTACCATTCATTGGCACAGTTCATTTGTTGCCCTTCTATACAAAACTTCCATCACTCTAGTCTGCCCCATTTATAATGCAACATTCCAAGTTTTGCCGATAGAGGAATGTGGCTGTTAGCCTACCACAGAAGGAGTCAGGGAGGCATGGACTGCCCTAGTGCTGAAATAACAGAATTGGCTTTTTTGGCCTTTTTTTTTTTTTTTTTTAAATCCCCTCTCACTCCTATGGGTGGTCTGTGTCTTCTTCAATCTCAGGTCCTCTACCAGAGGCTTGGGAGTTGGAGGGTTCTGCGCAGGATCCAAGCTGTTCCTAGCACTGCACTCTTCTGGACAGAGAGCTCGGAGGCTGTTCCTGGGATCTGTTGGAGCCCCTCTCCCAGCTTAGGAGTCACAGCCCTGAGTGCTCCTACCACCCCTGGGACCACCATATCTATATCTGCACGCTTCAAGAGACACAACTCAGTTCTCTGCGCCACGTTTTGCTTCTTAGTCATTTGCAGGGAATTACCTACATTAATTCCCTCTGCTCCTGCTGAAAGTTGTAGAACCACTAAATCATGTAGTGGTCTTCTTTTAACATGCTGAATGTTTAAGATTTATTTTTATTCTCATTAAGTTCTCCAGAAGGCCTCTGGATAGGTATCTCTTTCCCATTAGTCAATGTGAACAGAAGCGTGTCCTTACTGTTGCCAAATTCTACTGTTCAGCTACCCTAATTTCTAAAACAGTGTTGGGTTTACTTTTTTCTTCTCTGCATTTTATTTATCCATCCATCTTATTTATATAGCCGCCCATCTCATAAGATGTGACTCTGGGTGGCATACAACAAAAAACAGGACTGTAAAATAAGCAATATTTTAAAAAAACAGTCTACAATTAAAAACACCCATCAGTATCTACTATTAACAGATTAGCAGAGAGGACTTGATGTTTGTTACAGGCAATGCAGCCACCTCACTAATTCACTATGACCATTATGTGCTTTGTGCTTAGTTTTATCTTTTAGAATAACTGTTTAGGGTTTTTTGTTTGCTTGCTTTGTCATTTGCTCTAACTGAGAAAGGCATGTTTGGGAGGGTTGGGGGGAAATTTGACCGTAGAATAAAGATGTGTGTAGATATATAAGCCAGAAGCTAACTGGAAGATCAACTTCCTAGATTTATTTAGACCTTGGCAATCCTTAAGAATCAGAGGAAGGCCTGCTGCAGGTGTTGCAAATGGCAGATCGCCACCTGCGAGATCCACATTTGGCAGCATTTTCGGCATGGCTGCTCCCTCTCTGTAGTGCTTCACAATGTGCAGGAAGCAGCAACAATGATTCACTCAAAAGCCTCTGTTCAACCAGGCCTTCCGTGGGATAACGTTCAGCATCATTTTTCCCCTGCTCCTTTTACATGTTACGAATGTTTTTAATTATTGGAGTTTTATATTATTTTAGTATTATGACGTTTTAGAAATTCAATTTGTGCACCATGATACCCCGTTTTGGACCCAGAAAGCACTCTGCAAGTGGGTCAAAAAAGCAAATAAAGTGCTTCAGTCACGATGGACTGCAAAATATGGAGCTTACACCAATAACCAAATACTGGAAAGTGGACCTCCTTTTTCTGATTTGGCTGTGGGTACAAAGTTGTCTTGTTCTAAAAGAAACTTACCTGCACCTAAGTAGGAACATTTAAATTCCTTTGTAAATAGGTAGCTACAATTTGCTTCACTACTAAGTTTAATATCCAACTCTGCACATCTATCTATTCCCACCTGGACCAAAATCATTCATGAGCTTTTTAAATAGTTGATTTCTTCAGCTCTCAGCTGAAGAAGCTGCTACATAATATTCTTGTTCCTTAAAATTAATAAGAAAAACAGTTTCCAATAGTATTCACACAAAAAGTAGCAAGCGTTTCAAAACCCTACCTCACTGAGATAATCAAAGGACCCAGAGACTGGATAAGCTTTGGTGACAAACTTGGCCACACTCTGCATGTTGATAAAACCTTTCCAAATGGTATTCAGACGAGAAAGAAACAAGGACGTATCTCCTTCTGGGGGGGACCAGATCTCTGACATACTGCAAAACCAAAAAAAAAAAGTCTCAAAAGGTTTCCCCATAATGATCTTCTCCATCCCAAACATTTAAAAATTTTTTAATGTGATGCAGCCAATGCTACCAGTGGTTATATATTTTTAAGCTAACTCAATCAATGCATCAGAATTCAGCTGCAATTCGGCTACTCAACACTGAACCCAAACTTTTCACAATTTACTGGTTCACATGTATTCTATTATTCCTGAGAGCCAAGTAAGAAAATAGATTGCTTTTCCACCAAAGAAAGGATATGACAGGAGATGGATGCCATGAACTTTTGGGCTGGGGAACATTTACGATTTGCTTGCTCCACAGTCCCTTAATTATACACATATACATATATATGCGTACATACATGTGCGCGCACGCGCGCACACATTTTGTTCTAGGCTATGATCCCCTAATCGCAGGACATAGCGTACCTGACATTTAAAGATGATGGACCTCCCAAGTATCTTGGGTCTGATGAAGACGGTTTTGTTAAAATTGACTTTGGAACTGACAAAACAGGTCTTAATATTTCTGGCTTGCTCTCCACTACAGAAACTTTGTCAGGAGTGGGAGTGGGATGCAATGGAGAAATCCCAGCAGAAACAGAAGCTGCTGAAGTGCTCACGGCTGTTCGGGGGTCTTTGCCAGAGACAGTCACTGTCGTGATGACCCCGGCAGTGTAAGATGTGGGATAGGCCGAGGTCTCAGTGGATAGAGAAGGTTCTGAGTTGTTTTGCGCTTGTGATAAAGGAATGTAAGTTCTTTCCAAGCCTGGCTGAGAAACTATGTCAGGCACAGGTTCAGCGATGGGCTCTGGGGCATTCTCCAGATCTTCCTCTTTTACGACCTCTGTGTCATCTGCTGGTGCTGAGCTTTCAGGTTTCGACTTTGTTTCTGACTTTGTTTCTGTCTTCTTGGCAGCTGACAATTTGGGTTTTTTTGAAGCTGATTCTTCATCGGATGCAGAAATCTGACCTGTATTGTAGTCAAAATTAATACCCATCACTGCAACAAGGGTTGTGGCTATAGCATATGGCTTCATGAATAGGGGGCAGAGCGTGACCTTTGATGATACATGAAGCTACTCTTTGTAAAACTTCAGTGAATATAACATGACAACCTGATTATGAAATTCCCTCAAAGGTGGGGACAGAATAATTCCATCCATAATAACTTAATTGGGAAGAAAAATATTTTCATTATGCCTGGTTTTAGTGGGTACCATTCAAGACTGAAGATTTTAATTCTCCTTAGTGTTAATGCATTGTTTTAGTATTTTGTTTGTTTTCTTAGTATTTAGTTCTTTTAAGGCCAGGAGATGACATAGAAATGTCTGTATAAATAATAACTAATTCGTTTCATAGTTCTGCTGTGAAAAAAAGCAAGAGAGATGAATCTCAAGATAATTAAGACAAGAATAATTTTAATTGGGTTGTCTGAGGTACCATTTTGTTATTTCCTTTATTACATTTTTATGTATTGTATTGTATTTGTATTTTGTTTTTTATATTGTGAGCCACTGAGAGTATCGGTGCCAAAATCGAATTAAATAAATAAATAGAAAAGGATTTCTTTTATTTGAAAGTCTATCAACTCAACTTTTTTGAACTTGTCAGTTCAGATCCCTAATTGTTTCTGAGTTTGTATTCAGAGCAGCTGACTTCTACTGGGCAGTTTAGATTTCCATCACACGAGGATCCAAGCAACATTATTCACCTTATACCTACCTGTACAAATTTTGCAATTCAGATCAAAGAGATGGGCACGATGCTGACTTGTGGTGTCCTGCAACATACTGCTGAAAACATCCAAAACAGGAGCACTGCTCTTCTCAGGTGCTGCTCGATCGGACTCTTGCTGCTCCTAACGATGAATGTACAGAATGCAGAGAGTAACATGAGTTTTTCTTTGTTTTAATTCACCTCAGCCATGCAGACAAATAAAGTAATTCTTGGTGTAAGAACAGAACAATTTTAAAAAAGCAGCCCTTATCACTAAGAAGTAGAAAGGGCAATGGGCATCGACCTATAACTTGAGGATAACCCTCAGTCTTGTTGAGTCTTGCTGAATTCCTTTCTGGAGCCCTTGAACAGAAATATAAGGAACATTCTAGGTGGACTTAAAGTATAACCTTTTAGTGTCTTCTGATGAAGAATCATGCCCAAATCAGAAACGGCAGGCAATGGCTAATATCATTACAGAATTGCAACCCACGGTATGTCTTGTAGATCCCACTGCTGGACTGGACTGCCTCTTTTTCTGCTATCAAGATATATTACAATATTTGGAAGCATGGCATATTAAAATGCACAGCATTTTTCCTCTTCGTACTAAGAGCTGTCTTTTCAAAGAGTCTTCCCCAAACTGGTGGCCAAGATTTCCAGTTTCATAATTTCTTGCTGTCTGAGGTTATGAAACTGAAATCCATGAGAAACACAAGCTTGGGGAATGCTACCGGACATGTGATGCATAAAATCAGGTATCTCAAATAAAGTATACGTACATCAGAATCAGACACTGGTGGGGAATCTTCCATGTTAACATCTGGGATGGGGTCTTGTTTCACAGCCATTTTTTTATTTTCAAAGGTTTTACGTCTAGATGCCATTATCTATTTAAAAAAAAAGAATATTTGGTTAGTTTTTAACGTTCTACTTTTGGGACTACAACTCCCAACATTTCCAGTTGACATGGATGCTGTAGTCTCAATATAATCTACATCCTACCTATCTCCCGTGGTATCAGCCAGCCAGGGTGGGCACACTCTGGTTTCCTTCAATCAAGCAGGTCCATCTATTGGGCACCTCCCCTCCGGAATGAGGTATCCCCTGAGATTTGGGTGGCTTCCCCACCAATGGCATTCCAGAGGGCCTTAAAGACCTGGTTGTTCTCCCAGGCCTTGGGCTAGGCTAGTTGGAACACCTTGTACGCTGTTTGTATGTTGCTGTTGGCTGGATTTGCCATTTGTTCATACAACCTGGATTGTATATTGCTGTTTGTTTTTATTTTGTGAGCTGCCTGGAGTCAACTGGAGCCAGGCAGCGTGGAAGTCAAATAAAATAACTCTAACAATAATCACTGGAGAGCATTAGGTTGAGAATGACTGTACTAGACTGTAACCACTTATAAAATCCACTGTAATTACTACTTTGTTAAAAAAAAAAAACCTAATACATCCTTACTAATTGTATCCCTGAAGCACTGATAATTAGTAAGAAAAACTCATCAACAACTTTTACTTAATATGTGCAAAAGGAATGATTTCTTACCGATTTGGCTGGTTTTTCTTTCCACGATGATAGCTCTTTAGATACAAGTTCTTCAGGCTTCATTCTTACGAGCCTTGACAAAGGAATATCTTCTCGAAGAACGCGATGGAAAAGACCCTGGAGAGAAGATTGATTTTATTACATAGCTAATGAAAGAACGCAGACTTCTAAATTAATAATAATATCCAATTTAGCTAGTCCTAATTGTAGATCTAAAGAATGCTCATTCTTTTGAATGTGGTTGCTAAAAAAAATAGTACTGAGCAATTTGATGACATTGTATATGGTGAATTTCATCCATTACCTTTGTGTTTTTATGAAAAATCTTACATTTATCTCTATGTGCATTAAAAAGGAATGTTAAATCTTACATTTCAACATAAAATACAAATAACTCAATTAAGGGAGGGTACATTTGATAGCAGTCCCTGCTGTAGACTATTTTCCCTAATAATTACTATTCACCCTTTAAAATGATCCAAGCTGATGTTCATTACTACATCCTGAAGCTAAAAATGTTTAAATATTAATAGTGCATTAGTGAGTACTTTTGTTTGTAATGAATGTACACTATTAAGTCACTTCATCAGATGACCAATTAGTGAAATGAGGGAAACCAATTTCTATTTATACTATATATCTATCAAGTGTTTCTTAGTCATTTTTTCAAAATTGAACAATCTGAGACTTCTTAGTTTTAGCATATTCTATTTCCAGAGCAATATACAATAATTCATATTAATTACTAAGTTAGAGTTAAAGGCTGCCTGCAGGAAAATAAAAGCAGTCAAAATAATTGATGTTTCACTTCAATATAAACAAACCTGATTTTTGGGGTCCTTGAGATTGAACATAATACTGCGATATTTACTCTTATATCGATTATCTGTAGCCTGGAATAAATTGAACAACTCCTTTTCAATATTCAGTGCAATTTTCCCCACTTCACTTTCTGTCATGACCAGGTCATCACTGTCATTTACTCTGGAAAAAAAAAAAGACAGTACTAATAGCTTAATCTATGGGCTATGTAGTCTTCTACAATTAGTCTCATTAACACAACTCCAATAGAATTATCTGTAGTTCAGGGTTGAACTGTGGAATTCTTGCTGCTCTCTGAGCTTGGTTGTTTGCTTGCAAACGTTTCAATACCCAATTAGGTAACACCATTAGTGCAAGGGAATGTGCAGTTTGCTGTTTACTATATATACGCTTGCCCTACCAGTTTTGGTGGGGGTGTGGTTTCTTCCTTGATTACAGTATTGTTTTCTGCCTGATCGTTTGCCTGGTGCCAATCCCTGCTTATCTGCAAGTGGGCTGCTGGAGAGATGTTGCAGTCTGTTTCCTTCCTAGGTTTTTGTCTTTTGAATGATGTGTAAATGTGATTTCTGTTTATTGGTGGCTGATTTGTCTAAATGCTAAGCTTCCAGGAATTCTCTAGCATTTTTGGAGTTGGCTTTGGATAAATAAATGCCTGCAAGCAAACAACCAAGCTCAGAGAGCACCAAGAACTCCACAGAACACTGAACTGAAGGAAGAATGGCCCTTTTCTGATTTGGATTTTCATCCTTCATCACTGGCACTTTTATGGATCATTTAACTATATCTGTAAAGTTGTATTTGATAAAAGTGCTGCTAATGATTTAGGACAATTGGTGCTGTTAGAGCAGGTAGGTATCAACCAAACCACGCTCCTTTCTTTAGAACGTTCTGAAACGTAAAACCTTAATATAAAGCTTTAAAGTATTTGCTTCTCAACAGGAACCCATCGATGAGCATATTATAAGTGGATTTCATAAGCTTCACTTGAAAGTTAATGTTGTGAAAAGGAAATAATGAATGATAATCACAGGTTATGCTGTTAAGGTGTAGGTGCCATTATCTTATTGTGTGTTGTGTCTATGCAGCATTCCTACCTTTTCCACAAAATTTCTTTAAGAGATCTCCGTATGTTTTGTCGAATCTGAGAATTAGGTTGCGACTGGTTGGCGCTTGCAGTTAGCTTTGCTTGTGGAGGCAAGGATGTTGTTGAAGAAGTGGAAGACATCATGGGTTTCTTAAGCCCTGCAACTGTGCTAGAGGGGGGAACTGGTTTTTTAGACATGGAAGATGCTCCATAGGACAAAGACGACTTTGAGGATGAGACAGTGCCTGAAGAAGGAGAACCTGTTGAAAGCGAAGACTTCTTAGGTATTACCCCTTTAAAACCTGCTGCTGAGTGTTTCAATGGAGGCTTAGTAAGTGATGAACTGGCAAATGGAGAGGGTTTCTTCGGAGGCAGACTTCTTGTTTGGGAAGACATGTGTTTCTCAACTGCAGAAGTTGGCCCAACAGTTTTCTTCGATGCCATAGAAGGCTCTCCTGGTTTATCCTCAATCTTCCGCTCTTCTTTATGTGCTGTTAACACCAAAAAAAAAAAGTAACATGCTAGCTAAATTGTAATAATTAATAATTTTTTAAACTTGTATGCTGCCTGACTCTCAACAATATTATGCATAAGTAGCACTTAGTAGGATTTAACAACTACATCCATGATTCTATAAACTTGAAGAATGATTTAGACTGATTTTGGTAAGGGAGATTTGATTAAATCAATGATTATAAGAGTTCATCTTTTGCTGGCTGTACTATACAAAAGAAGCATTTTACGTGAAAGGAACTACAAATGTAACTATTGGGCACAATACAGAACAGCAGGACAATGCTTGTATTATCTGCAATGTGTTGTTGGCTTTTTTAAAGTTGTTTTTAACTTGCAAGGCATAAAGATTGGAAAGCAAAATGTGACTATCTGGTCATTTAGCTCACATGCATTCCAGGAAAAAGGAAGAAAACTTAGATCTATTAGGTTGTAAAGGGATCCGCAATGTATAGATGTTGAATACCTGGTACAGATTATTATGGCCAACTTGTATCAATCAGAAAGGGAATAATTTTATAGCAAGAACACATTAAAACACAAAAAAATTCACAAATATTTTCACATTTCAACATAAAAGAGGCTCCATCTTCAAAGATTGCACACACAGATTGACATTAAGAGTTCAAATGAAAAGGAAGCATTAAACAAACATTCATATTCTCCAAGGCCTAATTCTTACTTCTCCTTCCTTTCCATAGTGTTACAAGACTGTTTTATTTCATCCCATATGGCCATTCTAATCTAAGCATACAGGCTGAATTTACAAGACACAGAATATAGACAGTCTTAATTATTTAAGCAATTGAAATGCTTATTCTGTCACCTTGAAATAATTAAAAATTAATTTTGCTGTCCCAGTAGGAAAGTTGCAAGAATATGGTACGCTGAGTAACTTTCTCCCTGTTATTGTCTCTAACAGTTTTACTATAATTTTAACAAATAGCAACCACAACATATACCACCCACTCTAGATAGTACTTTTAAATTGCATGGCTTAGTTTCTGCTTAAAAAGAAATTACAATATCCAAAGGTATAGGTAAACATAGTCAGCTGCTCAGAATCAGCTGAAGAAAGAAAAAGGCAAAAATCTGCTAATAAAAATACACAACCTGAGACATCCAGACTATTATGTTGATCGCTTATCATTTTACTGTACATTACCAAATACATAAATGTGATATCTAAAGAAACCCACTACATGAGAGAACATGGCATGCTGTATTCCCAGTTCATTAAAAAAAAAACCTTACAATCATGCATAGTGTAAAATGTTTTATTATTGAGTTACTGAAAATGTAGAAATCTGGTAGGCTTAATTGCTGCTGTTGTGTGCACAGCAAGAAGTTGCCATCTTGAGCCACAGAGATACAGAATAACATACAGAACTCTATGTTAATATTACACAAGCTGAGTAGGATCCAGAGAACACACCACGCATCATTTGTAGAGGTATGACACCAAGGACAATAGGAGACAAACTTATTATACTATTAATTTGCACAATTAGGTATTCAAAATCTGTTTTAATCCAGATATACCCATAACAGTGAGATTTGCTTTATTTTATAGACTCCTAAACAACATCTGCTTTATAAGAAGGCATAATTGAGCCTGAACAAAATTAGAAAATTGCTATCCTACCTTTGTTGGCAAGGATTCCTGATCAAACTAAGCTTGCCACAATGTGAAATTATTTCCAGTTATCTGCGTTAAGTCTTCTTGATAGTTAACTTTTTCAGTTCACTTGACCGAACAGAAAATTTGTAAAATACTATTTGAGTAGGTCAAGACTTCTACAAGGACCTCAATGGATAAACTGGATGTCCATGTCCTTATCAGATATAAGATTCTAACTTTAGATAGTCTTTTGACCAACAAATCCATGATAGTCACCTGATCTCTATTCTACTTCAAAGTATTTATTTTCAGTGACTTGGGGGAAAAAGCTACTTAGGTTCATACAGGGTACTTTTGAATTCCCTAGTGATATTTGTAATCCGAACTTGGTTTACTGAGCAGTTGTTATCCATGCCACAATTCAAACAAAGAGCCAATTTCTGAAGTTTCCTCCAGATCTGAAAATATTGTGCTGTGCAGGATCAACAATTCCATCCAAATAAATGCATTTATTGTACTGATTCATATTTCACTTTTTGTAAGCGACTGAATGGGGTTGACAAGAAAAAATTAAATATAAACTTAGAAAAGCAATTAAAACGACTGTTAAACTAACTTGATCTCTAAAGGCCTGGTTGAAGAGGATAATGCTGGCTGAAAACAGAAAGAATGGGCACTGAGTTCACTCCTGTTGGGAGCAGCAAGGCTCAAGTGTTTCCGAGTTCACAGATCTGGTTCATAATTATTTAGAACCTGATTAAATGGGCCTTGACAGATTAATCTCCATTTGGAAAAATCTGTGAAGCTATAGATCATTTATCACCTGTAATACTTCACTATACCAGCTATAAGGACAGAGATACATCATATTTATTGAACATGCAATCATTTTCATAACATGCTAGCACATATATGCTTTTAATAATGATTTTTGCTTACTAAGCGAAAGGATACCTGGTCCTTTTTCCATTCACGTTGCCAAACCCACAGCACAGAAACTTCAATTCAAAACCATCCATACACATAAAATAATCCTCCTCACAGGAACACTTAGTACTACTTTGCCAATCACAAATGGCCGGGGAGCTATCTTCACCTAGAAGCTACTCCATGAGATCCTGACTTTTGGAATGACTACTCAAAAGAACAATGTCACCAGCTTTCAGATCTCTTTGGAGTATATTAAGCATATTGAAGTTGCTGCATTTGCACGCATTGTACTCATGGTCTACATTAATCTTATTGCTCAACCCCAATACCATCAAACTATTCCAGTTACCTCTCCAGGAAACCATTGTTAGTAGAAACCAAAGATGGTATAGCCATGGTCAACTATACTGATTAGTTGAAATTATTATTCCCAACCAACATTACAATTAGGATTTTGGGCACTCATTTAGTTCCAGGAAAAGTCCTAGAATTGAAATGGCACACTATGCCTTGGTTGTGCTGTAACGGATTTAAGGTGAAAGTTCTCATTAATGTTCACCCATGTAAAATCACAATCTGTGCATGGGCTTACATATCACTGTAAGCCACTGTGCAACTGTTTTTAATTGAATGTGATGTTGAGTGCTTTGTCAGTGGATAAATCACAGTTCAAGGATAGTAAATCATGCCAAAATCATGTTGTTGGCTTACTGACTATAAACATGGGTTATGATGATGGGCTAACAGGACACTGAAGTTGCTTGTAGTTTTCTGTTCTCCCCAAACTTATTAATCAAGCACTTGATTCCCAACTAGGAAATTCATTCTGGCTTGTTTAAACACAGTACAGCCAGCTCCCAGAGTAGTTGTTGTTCTGTCCATACCTTCTCCCTGACACAACACATAGGCTTTCACATTTTGATTTTGGAATTGATGAACTATATATGCATCAGCTACATATGCACAACTGTTTGTGATATTTTGTGAGGCACAAGAAAAACATGTAATGCAAATTAGGAAGTTCATTCGTTTGTGCTTATTCTCTTGGCAATTATCAAATGCAGATAAGCTACAAAATCAAATTAAGAACCCACTTTACATCATGTCAGTTTCCATGGCTTAAGAATCAATATTGTGGAGCAATCTGTCATATAGTTTCCCCCCAGGTGTGTAATATCAGGTAACACCCATTTTGGATTGTGTTGATGTAGATTAAGGGTTGTCTATGCATGCCAACTTTATCCTGCTGCACTATCAGTTGAAATTTCATTATGAAAGTTGGCTGCCAATTGTTAGGCATGTGTAACTGCCAGCTGCCTCCAGGTCTCCAGTATAGAGAGCTCTGCCCAATCCTTAATGCAAGCATTGATTTGGGCATGCTGTGTGTTACTCATCAGTGGACGACGGCCATTGCCATTGAGCAAACATTAACTCTTCTCTCCCTTAATGCTCTCAGCCATTTCATAGCACTGTGGATGTGGCCAGAGATGTTATGTGAGGACTGTATCCCTCCACAAAACAGGACCAGCCTGCTTGACAGCAACACTTGGCCAGCCAGTGGCATCACCTTGCAACTCTACTGAATTAGTGTCCCCAAGATCAGCTGGTGACAGCAGCATAAGCACCTGATGCTATGTTAGCACACTCTAGTGACTGCCTCCCATCAGGAAATCTGCCTGTCAGGCCAGTAATTCAAGAAAACCAGGTCACTAGAAATCCAAATCTGATTATCGAAGTTCACAGGTAAATTTCAGTATCAATTGGAGTGGTTTCATTTTAGCACTTTTACATTCACCTTTTCTTTTTAAATAAAATCCAGTAAAATACAGGGCCAAAATTATTAAATACAATAGTTTGCAGTACTACCACTGGCATTTACGAACATGGAATAACTTAAAAGTTTAGATCACTTAATATTATTTGCTTAACTTTGTCGAAGTCTAAGAAGCAAATCAGTTTAGTTCTTTGCCCTTTGTTTCTGATGATCAGAGGAACAGAACATCCTTGAATATGCTTCACCAAGTCTGGGAAAGGCTTCCCAAAGTGGCAATGCCACCAGACACAGCCCTTTATTTTCTCAGAAAGTCTGTTCAAAGATTGTCATATTGGGGACGTTTGCAGCGTTCAGGAAACCCCAGCTATGTTTTAAACAGCTTCTATCCTTTACTTGGATGATTAAAAAAAAACCAAGCCAACCCTGACATTGCACTGGCAACACATACCTGATGAAATCATTAAAATACAGTTGAGAAGTGACTGGATTTTTTTATTTCTCAAGGGAAATTTGGTTGTTACAAATTGGTTGAGGCTACTTATAAAATATGTCCTACTAACAATAATAGGGATATCATGTGGGAGATTTAACACTTTTGCTTTACTATATATATGCTAAGCAATGTGATTTGTATTGGGCTTCTTTAAAATCTA